CCAAGAAGACTTGAGGCAGTAATCACTGCCAAAAGTGCTTCAACAAAGTACTGAGTAAAGGGTCTGAATACTTATGTAAATATGACATTTCTGTTTTTGCTTTGTCATGATGGGATATTGTGTGTAGATGAGGAATTTTCTTTTTTTAATCAATTTTAGAATAAGCCTGTAACGTAACAAAATGTGAAAAAAGTAAAGGGGTCTGAATACTTTCCGAATGTACTATATATATATATATATATATATATATATATATACTGCCGTTCAAAGGTTTGGGGTCACTTAGAAATGTCCTTGTTTTCCTTGAAAACATACATGAAATTAGTTTGAATAGGAAATATAGCAAAATTAATAGGAAGTGTAGTCATTGACAAGGTTAGAAATAGTGATATTTAATTGAAATAATAATTGTGTCCTTCGAACTTTGCAGCAATTATAGCCTTGCAGACCTTTCGCATTCTAGTTGTCAATTTGTTGAGGTAATCTGAAGAGATTTCACCCCATGCTTCCTGAAGCACCTCCCACAAGTTGGATTGGCTTGATGGGCACTTTTTACGTACCATACGGTCAAGCTGCTCCCACAACAGCTCAATAGGGTCTGTGCTGGCCACTCCATTATAGACAGAATACCAGCTGACTGCTTCTTCCCTAAATAGTTATTGCATAGTTTGGAGCTGTGCTTTGGGTCATTGTCCTGTTGTAGGAGGAAATTGGCTCCAATCAAGCGCCGTCCACAGGGTATGGCATGGCGTTGCAAAATGGAGTGATAGCCTTCCTTCTTCAAGATCCCTTTTACCCTGTACAAATCTCCCACTTTACCACCACCAAAGCACCCCCAGACCATCACATTGCCTCCACCATACTTGATAGATGGCATCAAGCACTCCTCCAGCATCTTTTCATTTGGTCTGCGTCTCACAAATGTTCTTCTTTGTGATCTGAACACCTCAAACTTCGATTCGTCTGTCCATAACACTTTTTTCCAATCTTCCTCTGTCCAGCGTCTGTGTTCTTTTGCCCATCTTAATATTTTCTTTTTATTGGCCAGTCTGAGATATGTCTTTTTCTTTGCAACTCTGCCTAGAAGATCAGCATCCCGGAGTCGCCTCTTCACTGTTGACGTTGAGACTGGTGTTTTGCAGGTACTATTTAATGAAGCTGCAAGTTGAGGACCTGTGAGGCGTCTGTTTCTCAAACTAGACACTCTAATGTATTTGTCCTCTTGCTCAGTTGTGCACCGGGGCCTCCCACACCTCTTTCTATTCTGGTTAGAGACAGTTTGCGCTGTTCTGTGAAGGGAGTAGTACACAGCGTTGTACGAGATCTTCAGTTTCTTGGCAATTTCTCGCACGGAATAGCCTTCATTTCTCAGAACAAGAAAAGGCTGACGAGTTTCAGAAGAAAGTTCTTTGTTTCTGGCCATTTTGAGCCCATCGAACCCACAATTGCTGATGCTCCAGATACTCAACTAGTCTCAAGAAGGCCAGTTTTATTGCTTCTTTAATCAGCACAACAGTTTTCAGCTGCTGTCATAATTGCAAAAGGGTTTTCTAATGATCAATTAGCCTTTTAAAATGATAAACTTGGATTAGCAAACACAATGTGCCATTGGAACACAGGACTGATGGTTGCTGATAATGAGTTAATAATCTCTCTCTATTCTCTCTTCATCTCTCTCTCTCTTCTCTCTCTCTCTTCCTCTTTCTCTCTTTTCTCTCTCTTCCTCTCTCTTTCTCTCTTCCTCTCTCTCTTCTCTCTCTTTCTCTTCTTCTCTTTCTCTCTCTCTTTCTCTCTTCTCTCTTCCTCTTTCTCTCAGTATGAATTAAAAAAAAAAAGTATGCATTCTGTATGGTATTCTGTAAATCGCTTCTCTCTCTATTCTCTCTTCCTCTCTTCATCTCTCTCTCTTCTCTCTCTCCTCTCTCTTCCTCTCTCTTCCTCTCTCTTCCTTTTTCTCTTTCTCTCTTTTCTCTCTCTCTCTCTTTCTCTCTTCCTCTCGCTCTTCCTCTCTCTCTTCCTCGCGCTCTTCCTCTCGCTCTTCCTCTCGCTCTTCCTCTCGCTCTTCCTCTCTCTCTCTCTCTCTCTCTCTCTCTCTCTCTCTCTCTCTCTCTCTCTCTCTCGCTCTTCTCTCTTCCTCTTTCTCTCAGTATGAAAAAAAACAAAAAATGTATGCACTCACTAACTGTAAGTCGCTCTGGATAAGAGCGTCTGCTAAATTACTAAAATGTAAATGTAATAATGGGCCTCTGTACGCCTATGTAGATATTCCATTAAAAATCAGCCGTTTCCCGCAACAATAGCCGTTTACAACATTAACAATGTCTACACTGTATTTCGGATCAATTTGATGTTATTTTAATGTACAAAAAAATTGCTTTTCTTTCGAAAACAAGGACATTTCTAAGTGACCCCAAACTTTTGAACGGTAGTGTATATTACATATATCTTGCCCTTATGTTTGTGTTTGCATAATGCATAGATTCCACAGATAATAATATAATAATATAATAATAATAATATATATAATAATAATATAATATAATATGCCATTTAGCAGACGCTTTTATCCAAAGCGACTTACAGTCATGCGTGCATACATTTTTGTGCATGGGTGGTCCCGGGGATCGAACACACTACCTTGGCGTTACAAGCGCCGTGCTCTACCAGCTGAGCTACAGAGGACCACAGATAATGCCCTAGGCCTAGACATGGAAATGGAATAAGAATATTGTGTATCTCAATGATCCTATACACTTTGCCACAGATATTGATGTGCCACTGTGATGATACATCAAACATCAACCCCTCTGGTCTTTGTGTGAAGCCATTGTAATGGAGAAGATAGTTCTTGTTGTCCTTAATGATTGTGTCATGATTACTGACCCTTGAGAGGCAGGCCGGTTGCCATGGAAACAGATTGTAGCGCGGGTCAAAGACTCTGGGTGACACGGGGGTTCTGGGTAGGCACAGTGGAGGGCAAACGACTCCAGAGTGATTCGACAGACAGTCATTTTGGGGAGTAGCATATCCTTAGAATGATATTTTCTGTCTTGTTTTGGTGTTTCAGAGTGAGAAATGGGTTTAATTGTTTTTTAAAATTGGTTCTTGCTCTGAAGGAGCGAGATGTCTGAAATGCACGTTTTTATGCATGGACACAGCATGTGTCGTGTGTGTGTGTGTGTGTAGGCGTTTTCAGTCATCTGGTAAGTGAATCATTGTTGCAGTTAATTCTTACAGCTTTCCTGTCTGCTGTGGATTACTGAAAGAGTCTTTATTTAGATCAGTCAATCATCATTAGACTTACACACTGCTCTGTGGTAGGTGTGTGTGTGTGTAAGTGTATGAACGCGCATATGTGTGTGTTTGTGTGGCAAACAAAATAGTTAACTTGTGGTGGGCCACAAATATTCTTATTTCTCTATTCACATTAAACAATCCACACATAAACAACACATGACAGGGTTGCCTGTTGAGATGGAACATATGGTTGAGTTGTGGTGTCGTAAACAGAGCAAAGCAAAGCAGGGACCGACATAATTGCGGGGTGTGTTAGCATTGTGCTAATGTCCTAGCATGGATGCTAAGCTCTATAGCTACCACTGTGACAGAGACAGGTTATGTAAAAGCCTCTGCCTCTAGTTGTGGTCTGGCTCCTTGTGGTTGTCTTATCAGGCCACAGACACTGGAAAAAACTGAAGGGGTGTGTCATCACCAACTGTTTTACTGAGAGAGGCAGATACATTTAGGAGAGACTGGAAAGGGTTCTTCATGGAATCCAAAAGGGTTCTAACTGGAACCAAAAAGGGTTCTTCAAAGGGTTATCCTATGGGGACAGCCAAAAAACCCTTTCAGGCTCTAGATAGCAGCTTTTTTTTTCTAAGAACATTAGACAAAAACTGGACACAAAAGCTTCTAACTGGAGATGTGTGTGTGTGTGTGTGCTTGTGTGTGTGTTTGTTCTTGTGTGTGTGGCTGTTGGGGGAGGGGTAACCACACCAGACCCCTCACTGATTATATTAATCTGTGGACAAAGCCCCTCCCCTTTAACCATGAAATGACCAACAAGCCTTCTTCATCATGCATCCCCTCTCTCTTTTTAGGTTGGACAATAATCGATAATATTGCAGCCTTCCATCCTTTGGCAGGACAAGCTTCCGCCTTTTGACAGTACAGAAACATGGTTTGGCTATGATTATAGCAACCTTCCCTATCCTAGGAGGGATGGTTGGTTGACATTTGTGTGATAAAATATACCAATAAAGGCCAGATGAAATCTCAAAAACCCTCTCTCTCTTCCGAGCAGCTAATCTGTCATATACTATATCCCAAAGCGCTGAGTTGAGGTTATGTTTCAGAGGTGATTGCTCTCTGAGTCAGACCTGTCTGTCTGTCTGTCTGTCTGTCTGTATCTTTGTCTGTCTCAGTGGCAGTTTGTGTGTCAGTCTGTCTGCCTGAGTGACAGTCTGTCTTCCATGGGGGAGATAAGGATGACAAGGCACTATTTCTATCTCTGTGTTGGATCCTTTCTAGCAGTGTGGTTGGCTCTTTTGAGGCTTTGTATGTGTGTCCTAACTCCCAAATGGATGTCTGACTCTGCAATGCCTAGCTCCACTAGGTACACAGTGAAGTGAACAACCCCCAGAGGCTATTATAGGGCTTTCACACATTACAGTACCCAGAATCACCATCCATACCCACACACACAGACAAACACACACACACCAGCACTCCTACTCATTTGACCTGGAGTGAGGCTTCACTATCAGCTACGGCAGCACATTACATATTTTCTTGGTAGTCAGCGTGTCTTAACACTTTGAAATTGTACTTACTCTTCATAATTTTATAACTCTTTAGAAACCTTGATCTATCCTAACAAGTCCTGCTATATTCCACTGTCTCAAAATGGCTGACCGTGTCACGGATCGACAATCAATAACAGAACAGTTTCACTGATCTGAACCCCACAGTACTAACAAACATATCTCTATGTGTTTCAGATCTGATATCGGCCACCAATGCGACCAACGTGAACATCCCTCAGATGGCCGACACTCTGTTTGAGAGGGCCACCAACGCCAGCTGGATTGTCGTCTTCAAGGCCCTAGTCACCACACACCACATGTGTGTCCATGGAAATGAGGTCAGAGGGCAGCATTTTAGTGCACAACCACAATAAAACAAATTAGGACTGTTTCAGCACTATGGACAGCTACACGGCTGTCTTGATTAATCCCAGGGGAGCTGTGAGTGTAGCTGTCCATGGTGCTGGAAACAGTGCTATTAGTATTGCTGCAGACTAGAGCTCATTCTGAAACATGGTTATAAAACACAGTTGTGTTTGTCTGGAGCTATTTTTACATATTGAGTTGCTGTATTGCTATAGACATAACATACTAGCACTCAATTTGTATTTGACTATTTCAGTAAATATGCCTTAATTGTCTTGATTTTTTTTTCTTTGATTCATTTTTTTTTTTATCAGCCTATTTTAATTGTAAGGTGTTTCAGTGTCAGTGCCTTATTGTCATTCTGCTTCCTCAGAGGTTCATCCAGTACCTGGCCTCCAGGACCGCTCTGTTCAACCTCAGCAACTTTATTGACAAAACAGGCTCCCACGGTAAGTGCACTTCCTGTGTGCGTGTGTGTATGTTTGGGGAGTGAAGCAGGTGGATTCCCTCCCAGTTGAGAGCATAAACAGATACAGTAGATGAGATGTGAGACTACCTGGAGGCGCAGAAGGAGACAAGAGGAGAGGAGGAGACAGGAGGAGACAGGAGGAGAGGCAGAGACAGGAGGAGAGGCGAGACAGGAGAGGAGGAGACAGGAGGAGAGGCGGAGACAGGAGGAGAGGAGAGGAGACAGGAGTGAGAGGAGACAGAGGAGAGGAGGAGAGGCGAGAGAGGCGAGAGGAGGAGAGGAGACAGAGGAAGGCAGAGGAGGAGGAGAGGCAGAGACAGAAGGAGGAGAGGCAGAGACAGGAGGAAGAGAAGGAGAGGCAGAGACAGGAGGAGGAGGGAGAGAGGCGAGAGACAGGAGGAGAGGAGGAGACAGAGGAGAGGAGGAGAGGAGGAGAGGCAGAGACAGGAGGAGAGGAGGAGAGGCAGAGACAGGAGGAGAGAGAGGGCAGAGACAGGAGAGGAGGAGAGGCAGAGACAGGAGGAGAGGAGGAGGAGCAGGAGGAAGGAGGAGAGGCAGAGGGACGGAGGAGACAGGAGAGAGAGGACAGGAGGACAGGAGGAGAGGCAGAGACAGGAGGAGCAGGGAGAAGGAGAGAGCAGAGACAGGAGAGGAGAGACAGGAGGAGAGGCAGAGACAGGAGGAGCGACAAGAGGACAGGAGGAGAGGCAGAGACAGGAGGACAGGAGGAGAAGGAGAGACAGGAGGACAGGAGGAGAGGCGGAGGAGACAGGAGGAGAGGCGGAGACAGGAGGAGAGGCGGAGACAGGAGGAGAGGCAGAGACAGGAGGAGAGGCGGAGACAGGAGGAGCGGCGGAGACAGGAGGAGAGGAGGAGAGGCAGAGACAGGAGGAGAGGCAGAGACAGGAGGAGAGGCAGAGACAGGAGGAGAGGCAGAGACAGGAGGAGAGGCGGAGACAGGAGGAGAGGCGGAGACAACAGGAGACAGGAGGAGAGGAGGAAGAGGAGGGAGACAGAGACAGGAGGAAGGAGGAGAGGCGGAGACAGGAGGAGAGGCGGAGACAGGAGGAGAGAAGGAGAGGAAGAGACAGGGGACATCTGTAAAGAGAGGAAATCACTGGCCTGATAAGCATGCAATGTGCACACACTAAACATAGTACTGTACATGTACAGATGTAGGATCTTAATTTGATTACCCTGTTGCAGGAGAAATTTCAAACTTGTAGTGTATTTGAGGTTTAAAAAGGCTTCTGAAGTTTTTAATTTCCACTTTGAAATTTCAGACTTGATTTTCCCTGACAAAATGTATCAACCCCTACAACAATTTCCATTAATTATAATCCACATAATAATTCACATTTCCTGTTGCTGCAGGATTATTTTCCTGCTGTAGCAAACTGGCTCAAATTAAGATCCTACATCTGTACACACATCCATGCACACTTGCACGCACACACACACACACACACACACACACACACACACACACATACATACATACATACATATAGTACTAGTCAAAAGTTTAGACACACCTACTCATTCAAGGGTTTTTCTTTATTTTTACTATTTTCTACATTGTAGAATAATAGTGAAGACATCAAAACCATGAAATAACACATATGGAATAATGTAGTAACCAAGAAAGTGTTAAACAAATAAAAATATATTTTAAATTTTAGATTCTCAAAGTAGCCACCCTTTGCCTAGATGACAGCTTTGCACACTCTTGGTATTCTCTCAACCAGCTTCACCTGGAATGCTTTTCCAACAGTCTTGAAGGAGTTCCCACATATGCTGAGTACTTGTTGGCTGCTTTTCCTTCACTCTGCGGTCCAGCTCATCACAAACCATCTCAATTGGGTTGAGTTTGGGTGATTGTGGAGGCCAGATCATCTGATGCAGCACTCCATCACTCTCCTTCTTGGTCAAATAGCCCTTACACAGCCTGGAGGTGTGTTGGGTCATTGTTCTGTTGAAAAACAAATGATAGTCCCACTAAGCCCAAACCAGATGTAATGTCGTATAGCTTCAGAATGCTTTGGTAGCCATGCTGGTTAAGTGTGCCTTGAATTCTAAATAAATCACAGACAGTGTCACCAGCAAAGCACCCCTACACCATCACACCTCCTCCTCCATGCTTCACGGTGTGAACCACACATGCGGAGATCATCCGTTCACTTACTCTGCGTCTCACAAAGACACGGCGGTTGGAACCAAAAATCTGTAATTTGGACTCCTCAGACCAAAGGACATATTTCCACCGGTCTAATGTCTTCCTTTTCTGTGGTGGTCCTCATGAGAACCAGTTTCATCATAGCGCTTGATGGTTTTTGCGACTGCACTTGAAGAAACTTTTCTGTATTGACTGACCTTCATGTCTTAAAGTAATGATGGACCTTCATTTCTCTTTGCGTATTTGAGCTGGACTTGGTCTTTTACCAAATAGGGCTATATTCTGTATACCAACTGATTGGCTCAAACGCATTAAGAAGGAAATAAATTCCTCAAATTAAGAAGGCACACCTGTTAATTGAAATGCGTTTCAGGTGACTACCTCATGAAGCTGGTTGAGAGAATGCCAAGAGTGTGCAATGCTGTCATCAAGTCAAAGGGTGGCTATTTGAAGAATCTCAAATATAAAATATATTTGGATTTGTTTAACACTTTTTTGGTTACTACATGATTCCGTATGTGTTATTTCATAGTTGTGATCTCTTCACTATTATTATACAATGTAGAAAATAGTAAAAATAAAGAAAAACCCTGGAATGAGTAGGTGTGTCCAAACGTTTGACTGGTACTGTACATACACACACACACACACACACACACACACACACACTAAACTGCTTCCTGCCTCCATGATTGCTATATCCTGCGCTTTTCACCAGTGTCTTGCCCTGGTCTCATTATAGATCCCCTGTCTCATCGTACTGTCTCTCATCCTAATGTAAACAAAAAAATAGCTACTGCAACCCTCCCGTTCAATCCCCTTCAAATCTCCCCTACAATCAGATACACGACTTGCAAAATTGAAGAGAGAACGTTTTTGGTGTGACATGAATGTGGTGCTCTCTTCTTTCTCTAGGCTATGATATGTCTACTTTCATCAGACGTTACGGCCGCTACCTCAATGAGAGGGCTTTTGCCTACCGCCAGATGGCTTTCGACTTCACCAAAGTCAAGAAGGGGTCAGTCACTTCCCTGTCTCTCCAAATCCTTTTACATCCCCATCCTTGAGATCCTCATCACTGAGGCTCACCAGCCATTCACCTCATCACTGAGGCCCACCTGTCATTCACCTCATCATTGAAGCCCACCTGTCATTCACCTCATCACTGAAGCCCACCTCATACTATCGTTCACCTCATCACTGAGGCCCACCTGCCATTCACCTCATCATTGAAGCCCACCTGTCATTCACCTCATCACTGAAGCCCAGCTCATACTATCATTCACCTCATCACTGAAGCCCAGCTCATACTATCATTCACCTCATCACTGAGGACCTCATATTGTTATTTACCTCATCCATGAGCCCCTTGTTATGCTCTCCCCTGTGTGTTTCCTCCACAGTGCTGAAGGGGTGATGAGGACAATGGCTCCAGACAAGCTGTTAAAAGGCATGCCCGTCCTGCAGACTCAGATCGACACACTGCTGGAGTTTGATGTGAGTTTGACATGTTGTTCATCATTGATCTGTTTATTACTGTCTGTCTGTCTGTCTGTCGTCATTTGTGAATTAGCTGACCACTGTACTATGTCAGGCCACAAAGAATAATGTTTACCTATTGTTTATTTTCCTGTGTTACATTTTCTCTTTCTCTCTCTATCTCTCTCTCTCAATAGCAATGATACTATTTGTTCTATTGACCCTGATATTTCTGTGCGGGTGCACAATTTTTTAGTACAGCAGAATATTGCTGGAGTTTAATTAATTAAGTTAACTAATGCTCTTCTGTTGAATTTGTAGTGTCGAGTCAATGTTGCTAATTATGCTGTAACAAAGGAGTCCGCTTATACTGAGCTTTGATCATAAGTTTTATTCATATCACAAGATGTCAGCATAAGTTTACAGATGTCTAGAGCATCCGGAGAGCAGAGTCCCAAAATAATATGTCTGCTCTAATGTTCTTTGTTCAAACCCAGTACTTATAATATTCCCCAAAATATGGGTGGCTCCCTCTACTGTCCAATCCCCTGTCTACAACACACACTCCCTGTCTTCTATGGGGCGTCACCCTAAAACGGCTCCCTCTGAAACTAAATAAACATCCTCTCAGGTTCCACTTGAAAACATTAGCAAAGTCATAATTCTTAATACACTACAAACTACATGATAAAACGCTTTTAAAAGTTCTGTCTCTCTCCCAGGTCCATCCCAAGGAGCTGAATAACCCTATCATCAACGCAGCATTCCTGCTGCTCTTCAAGGATCTGGTCAAGCTTTTTGCCTCCTACAACGACGGGATCATTAATTTATTAGGTGAGTTAGACATGTCATTGGGTGCATCCCAAATGGCACCCTATTTCCTATATAGTGCACTACTTTTGACCAGAGCCCTGTGGGCCCTGGTCAAAAGTTGTTTACTATTAAGGGAATAGGGTGCCATTTGAGAAGCAGACTCTGTCACCAATTAAAAGATCAATGACTTTCTTTCACCGTTTAGTGATTTTAGAAGATGCTCTTATTCATAACAACTGTTAAATATCTGTAGAGAAATACTTTAAGATGAAGAAGGGCGATTGCAAGGAGGCCTTGGAGATCTATAAGAGGTTCCTGACCAGGGTCACCAAGATCGGAGAGTTCATGAAGCTCGCTGAGGTAAAGGAAACTTCCTAACAGATTAGGGTATATTCTAACTAACTTAAATCCAAATGAAACTCACACAGTGCTTCCTCACATACAGTGTCTCTCTATTTTGAATATAAGGTTATGATGCACGGATTTGGTTGTGTGTATTTTGTTCCACAGACAGTCGGTGTCGAAAAAAATGACATTCCAGACATCAACTATGTAAGTCACTGATCTTTGTGCTTTCTCTCTAGAAGGATGATGGCATAGTTGTAACACACACACACACACACATCTATCCTAATCTCCCCCCTGCGATCCCAGTGTCTGCACCCTCGAGTGGTGACGGACCTCGTAGACTCAGACAATGAGGACTGTCCCTTTCAGCCTATCGAGGACCCGGTAACCATAGAGACACGGGGTGGCTTGGCTGAGTGCCTGTTTGGAGGATGGGGTTTTGGCATGGGATCATTCTACAGACTGACACTTCTGACTGCATTGTGTGTGTGTGTGTGTGTGTGTTAGCATGTGTGTGTGCTTCCGTGTGCACAAACGACTGTAGAGTTTAAGTAAAATGTGAACACCTTAACACTTCATTCTACAGGCCATTGAGTTGATACAAAAGTGGGGTAGTGGGGTGAGTTAAAAATTAAGGGTCTGGAGTGGTGCTGCCATAGAAATAGAATTGGGTGCTGTGTTATTTGAAGTGTTGGCATGCAGATGGATAAGGAAGTCAGTGACGTAAACCTGTTGTTTCTGTGTCTCTGATTGGTTCTCTCTTCTCTGACCCTCAGGCTCCCAGTAGCATCCTGGAGTCGCTGGAGACACACATGAACAGCTTGGAGGGGAAGAAGGGGTAAGAGGACCCTCTCTAACTACACCATTTCAGAAAGAGCTCAAATGTGGGAATGGCTCCATAGGTATCTTTACACAGAGAAAATATGAATTGAGAAATGAGAGTGTGAGATAAACTAGATACTCATAACTTGGGCTCTATTCACCTTATGTAGCCCTGCCCACTTGACCCAGTTCCTGATCGAATGCAGCCTGGTCTCATAGACTAGACGTGACATACTAAATGTAAATCCGGGACACTCAAATGAGTATGATATATTAAGTTTGGTATGGTTACATAAGACAAATGGTTACTTAAGGCAAAAACAAAAGTAAGGTGGTTGGTCAGGGTGGATGGGTGAGCGTATAACGCGAAAGTTCTAGCAGACCATAGGTTGCAAGTTCAAATCTCATCACGGACGACTTTAGAATTTTAGCTAATTAGCAACTTTTCAACTACTTAAAACTTTTAAGCTACTTTGCAACTAGCTAACCCTTTGAAACTAGCATGTTAGCTAACCCTTCCCCTAACCTTAACCCTTTAGCTAACCCTTTCCCTAACCCTAACCTTAACCCTTTAACGTAACTCCTAAACTTAACCCTGACCTTAACCCGAACCCCTAGCCTAGCTAACGCTAGTCACCTAGCTAGCATTCGTAACATATCATACATTTTGCAAATTTGTAACATATCATACGAAATGGGTGATGGACATCCACAAATTAATACATACATTTTTTACATTTTAGTCATTTAGCAGACGCTCTTATCAAGAGCGCATACATTTTTTATTCATTTTTCATACTGGCCCCCGTGGGAATCGAACCCACAACCCTGGCGTTGCAAGCGCCATGCTCTACCAACTGAGCTACACAGGACATACCATACAAAACGTAACATATCATACTAAATGGAGTGTCTCGGATTTACTTACAGAAACATATGAAATGCTCTGAGACCAGGTTGGTTTTCCTCCTTCCAGCCCATTCACAAACAAGGAAAACCATAGTTAAATATGAATTAAATTTGTTAAAACTATTAAATAACGTACACACAGAATTGGAAATATATGTTAATTATATTCTGAGAAAAATTATTGAAAAACAATTACGTTTATTTTCACTTACAAATAGTACTTAATAATAGCCTAAAATAATAATAGCCAGAAATAATAGCCGAAATTAGCAAATTAGAATTCACATAGAAAACATTGCGGGTTAGCTAGTTAGCATATTAGACTATATCTAATGGTCATTATCCATACAGGCTGTATCCCTTTTCAATCAAAGATCAATGATTGAACTGGAAATGTTGTTAGGCACAGAATATCAATGACAAAATACAGAAACGGTGCCAAAATGTTTTATGTAGATAACGTTTTGATATTTTCCTTCTGTTGTGCCACAAAGCTAACCAGCTATCCCGCCATGTTAAGTCTATGAGAATGCTAATTTGGTAATTTCAGCGACCGAGTGCTATTACTAGCCTACGTGAAAACAAACATTTAAATGTTTCAATGATTTCAGTCAACATAGAATTAACATATCTTTCAAATTCTGTGCACATTATTTAATAGTTTTGAGAAATATAATACATATTTAACAATGGTTTTGCTGGTTTGTGAGTGGGCCGGAAGGAGGAGAACAATCACAACCAATTGGATGCGCCTTTGTTGCCAGGCTGAATACTGTCCCAGCACCACAGTGTTCCAAAGACAGTTTTGTGTTATCTTTTCCTTTAATCCTTCTTCTCTCTTTGTTCCTTTCTGTTCATCATTGGGGATCACAGTGAAGGGTGAGCATAAATTATTAATTTGGGGTTTGACAGATGAGTTTATTGTAGTCATGAAAATAAGTTAAAAAGTTAATTTAAATGTAGATGACTTCAGCTCTGAAAGGTGATATCTAGCTCTGATGAAATTGAAACATTAACTATTCCGTCTCTCTTTCAGGTCTCCAACAAAGGTGAGTTGAAGATTACAAATTATTTTCCCTGTGTATATCATTGCCTTTCTGTTTCTGGTTGTATGTCGACACATGGATACTAATAAGTCCTCTCTGTATTCCAGGGGTCCCCCACCAATAACGTGTCCCCGACCTCCACCCCCGCCAAAACTGCAGCCGCCGTGCCCACCCTAGTGCCGCCACCTGAAGAAGCCACTGAGTGAGTGACCACTTCCTCTGCCTACCGCAGTTTACCTTATCACCTCAGGGATTTCCTCAGTTCTGGCATTCTAGCATTCTATCTATTCCATTTATTTTGTAGAATTGTGAATAAGAGTCCATTCTTCCTTCCCCTTCCATTCTCTCTCTCTCACCATCACTCCGTCTCTCTCCATCCCTCTCTCTCTAGTTCTCTGTTGGATCTGGACCCTCTGTCCTCCTCTGGTCCGTCAGCAGGGGCCTCAGCAGCCCCTATGTCCTGGGGAGGTAATGTCCCATTTCAAAACTTGATCGTTTAATGGTTAATTAAAACTTACCGGTAGTTACATTATCTAATGAACATTCATATAATTGCATTTTCCTCCATCACCTTCTCCCATGCTCTTCTGGGGATGCTGCCACAGACCTCCTTGGATCAGGTGAGTGCTATCCCACAGGGACCCTGGCTTTAACCTCTCTAGTTTATTAACATTAACAGAGCGTGTCATCTCCTCTAGATCGCCAATGTGTTTCCTAGTGCTGCTCTAGTCTCAGTAGTCTATTTCTCTCTCTTTGTTTCTCTCTGCTCTCTATCCCTCCCCCACATCCCCGTGCTTGGTTCATACGGGGGCTTTAATTCTGGGGTTGATTTTGGGGATCTTTCTTTGCTCTCTTTTGTTTCTATGGGATGTTTTTCGGTTGTTTCGTTGAAATTGGGTTGATTTGATACCTTCATTTGGTTCTAATGGGGCCTTTTTGGTTGCTTTGGTTCCTATCGGGTATTTTGGGGGATGATTTCTGGGGGTTGTTTTGGTACCTTGTTTTGGGTTTGGTTGGTACACCACATGGGTACCTGCAGAAATGGGCGAGTCCATGCTTCCTGACCCCACCCTCGCTGTAGACACCGCTCCCTCTCCCGCGGGGGTAACGCCCACCCCTACAGCCGCAGAGCCAGGAGTCACTCTGGCTCCTCCCCCTAGTGCGGCCGCTGGCACTTCCCCCGGTGCGACGAATATGGATCTGCTGGGAGGTCAGTGGGCTTCTGGAGGATTCTCTACCACAGAATCTCTGCTGGACAGCTCAACCCCAACCAACCCTCCACATGCACACACAGGAGATGCAGTGTAGTGTTCGCTACATGCATGTACACACACTAATCTATATGTTTAGTCTCTGCATGTACATACACACAGTGACCCAGATACCCCAAAACAAACACATCCATTTGGGCAGAACACACATACTGGTATGCATTCTGTACATCTCATGCTCATTGACACAGATATACACACAGAGACAAGCATGCACACACTTGTAGACGCACTCAGACATGCTACTCATACATTTTCACATGCTTAGTTTTGTTTGATAGTCCGACAGCTTTTCCTCAACTTCAGAGAAAAGCCAATCTATCAAACAGTCACATTCTTTATTTCCGCCTAAAATACATCTTGCTTTGCTTCTGGTTTCATTCTGTGGCCTGCTTGTCCAGTAATGTAGTGCAACAGACCTAGTTACCGCTTTCTAGTTTAGTTGCTAAAGCCCGCCTTCCATAGACCTTGCTGTGCCTCCTGTCTGTATTCTCATTCACCCTTCACCTGTCAATCATTCATGCCACAAAGTAATGCCACAGAGTAAATGTTTTGTAACTAATCTAAACTGAATTTATTACAGTAATCAAAAGATGCCTCAGTTAAATAGTATTTATCTGCAATAAATAGTATCTCTCTGCAATAAAATACCTTTGATGAATAAGTATATTAATTAAGTATATTACATATATTATGCCTGACATTACATTACAAATATTTAATATAGGTACAGTATATTAAGTAAATTAAACATCTAATAAAGTAAAAGTAGTATTTCTAAATTCTGCTTAGAGGCACAGACCATCTTTTAGGTGGTTTCTTGACCTTCCTTTTCTGAAGTTCCTTTTCTGACTTACTCTCTCTTTCTTGTCTGGCTTGTGTTTCTTTTCTCTGTTCTTTCTCTCCCTATCTCTCGCTGTACCTTTCTCTCTGTCGTCTGTATGTGTGTGTGTGTGTTGGGTATCAGATGCGTTTTCGACCCCTGTTTCCGCCTCTGATGCCTCTGCCGAGGGCGGGGCTCCGGCCTCCACACCAACCCCTGTCACCGACGCTGCAGCTGGTGGGTTACAGAACGTGTCTCTGTGTCTGTCTGTGTAAATGGCTGTGTGCATATTTTTGTGGCTGTTTGTGTGTGTGTTTGGCTGTATTCGAGTGCTCGGTGCATCCATGCTTATGTGTTTTTGTGTATGGAGAGTGTGTTTCAACAGTTGATCCCATTGCTGTGAGTGGGTGTAGCTAGTTTAGCTAGACATGTGATGCTGCTGGTTGTTTCTGGGCATGGCTGTTGCTGTTACCATGGAGATTGTTGCTGAGGTTGCTATTAGGACAGTGGTTGGCCACTCCATGCTAGATACCACCTGGGGTTTCCTTTCCTTCATTAAACTTTATCCCAAAATGCATCTGCAAGGTCCGTGGTTACACTCTGTAAATCTGGTATAGTATGGGTATTTCAGAGAGTATAATGAAAGAGTGTGAATACTACTAATACTGCTTTCTCCAAGATGTTTCCTGCTATCCCTCTTTTCACAAATCATTTTTCCTCAGACATGCATATTTTCCAGATTATCTCTTGATCATACAGTACTTTATAGTTTTTTACATTTACTGTATGTTTATGAAGAATATGGAGCAGTGAATTACTAACTGAGCTTGTATCTTCAGAATTTCAGCCGAATGCACCCACTCCTCTTCCCTATTTCACAGAATATAGCTCTTGCCATACCTCAAGGTTTACTTCACACTGTGTTATGGTGGTTGTGTAACATCTCCATCTCCCTAAGTCATCCCCTCCCCCATTCTCTCCTCTCAAAGACCCCTTTGCCCCCACTGGTTGCAGTTCAAATGCAGTAGGCCCAGGGCTGGACCTGTTTGCCATGATGCCAATGGCGAACAACTGCTTTAACTCAGTGGCGCCCCCTCCTGCCCCCTCATCCACCATCACAGCACCCATCCCCCCCACCACCACCCCATCGATAGACCTCTTCAGTGGTAAATGTTTACACGTGTGTGGTACTTCTTAACCTTTTATTTTCTGCTCTTTCGTCCTTGTCCTCTACTCTGCATCCGTGTCCTATCCTCTCCTGCATTTTACCCATCAACTGCATTGTTCCTTGATGTCCCTTTCTCTTTGTGAGGCTAACTTACACATATCACGCTTCCTTTCAGCTTGGAAGCATTCTATTCAGATGCCTCTCTGCTCCTGCAGTGGCTTTCAATCACAATTGTTCATCTAATTAATCATTGTTTGTAGTGTGCTGTTCTCATCTCAATGTGTGTGTGTTGTGTACTTGTCCCGTAGCTATGTTTGATTCCATGCCAGATCCAAGCTTCACCAAAGCAGACCCTGCCCCCAGTGTTGACATGTTTGGAGCAGGTACCCAAACTTGCGCCATCTGTCTTCTTTCTCAGCATGTGCTTGAGTGCTGTTTTTATATGTACATTTGTGCATTATTGTAATTCAAGGATACTGATTGTGTATTTTGTTGTTTGTGTGAGTTTGTTTAGTGGGTATGGGTTTGTTTAGTTGTGTGTGTGTGTGTGTGTGTGTGTGTGTGTGTGTGTGTGTGTGTGTGTGTGTGTGTGTGTGTGTGTGTGTGTGTGTGTGTGTGTGTGTGTGTGAATTATACCTTGACATTTGCACGTACAGTAACAGTCAAAAGGGTTTTTCTTTATTTTTACTATTTTCTACATTGTAGAACAATAGTGAAGACATCAAAACAATGAAATAACACATGAAATCATGTAGTAAACAAAAAAGTGTTAAACAAATCAAAATATATTTTATATTTGAGATTCTTCAAAGTCACCCTTTGACTTGATGACAGCTTTGCACACTCTTGGCATTCTCTCAACCAGCTTAATGAGGAATGCTTTTTCAACAGTCTTGAAGGAGTTCCCACAAATGCTGAGCACTTGTTGGCTGCTTTTCCTTCACTCAGCGGTCCAACTCATCCCAAACCATCTCAATTGGGTTGAACTTGGGTGATTGTGGAGGCCACGTCATCTGATGCAGCACTCAATCACTCTCCTTCTTGGTCAAATAGCCCTTACACAGCCTGGAGATGTGTTTTGGGTCATTGTCCTGTTGAAAAACAAATGATAGTCCCACTAAGCCCAAACCAGATGGGATGGCGTATCGCTGCAGAATGCTGTGGTAGCCATGCTGGTTAAGTGTGCATTGAATTCTAAGTAAATCACTGACAGTGTCACCAGCAAAGGACCCCCACACCATCACACCTCCTCCTCCATGCTTCACGGTGGGAACCACACATGCGGAGATCATACGTTCACCTACTCTGTGTCTCACAAAGACACGGCGGTTAGAACCAAAAATCTCAAATTTGGACTCATCAGATCAAAGTACAGATTTTCACCGGTCTAATGTACGTTGCTCGTGTTTCTTGGCCCAAGCAAGTCTCTTCTTCTTATTGGTGTCCTTTAGTAGTGGTTTCTTTGCAGCAATTTGACCATGAAGGCCTGATTCACGCAGTCTCCTCTGAACAGTTGATGTTGAGATTTGTCTGTTACTTGAACTCTTGGGCTGCAATCTGAGGTGCAGATAACTCTAATGAACTTATCCTCTGCAGCAGAGGTAACTCTGGGTCTTCCTTTCCTGTGGCGGTCCTCATGAGAGCCAGTTTCATCATAGTGCTTGATGGTTTTTGTGACTGCGCTCAAAGAAACTTTCAAAGTTCTTGAAATGTTCCGTATTGACCTTCATGGTTTAAAGTAATTATGGACTGTTGTTTCTCTTTGCTTATTTGAGCTGTTCTTGCCATAATATGGACTTGGTCTTTTACCAAATAGGGCTATCTTCTGTATACTACCCCTACCTTGTCACAACACAACTGATTGGCTCAAACACATTAAGAAGGAAAGAAATTCCACAAATTAACTTTTAACAAGGCACACATGTTAATTGAAATGCATTTCAAAGTAACCACCTCATGAATCTGGTTGAGAGAATGCCAAGAGTGTGCAAAGCTGTCATCAAGGCATAAGGTGGCTACTTTGAATAATGTCAAAGATAAAATATATTTTGATTTGTTTAACACTTTTTTGTTTACTACATGATTCCATATGTGTTATTTCATAGTTTTGATATCTTCACTATTATTCTACAATATAGTAAAAATAAAGAAAACCCCTTGAATGAGTAGGTGTGTCCAAACTTTTGACTGTTACTGTAATTCGCACACTGTGTTTGTGTTCTAACCCTCCTCTACCCCTCCCCTTACAGCAGATGCATTCTCCTCCCCTGCCCCCCTCCTCTCCTCAGACCTCCCAACGGACAAGGGGGCGATCATGGACATGTTTGGGGGTGGGTAAATGTACACTCTCCCCCCACCCCTCACTATCCCCCTTGCTGCTGGTCGACGGTCTTCACATGAGTGGCCTTTTGTAAAAATGTTTCTCTCTAAGCAGGAAAGCCATAACTTTAATTTATTATTTGATTTATTATTTTCATCATGTCATTCATCTTCATCAGCATTTCTCATTCCGTTTCTCTGTATGGTTTTGGTGACCCATAAAGTTGTTACTGTAGTTAAGTTGTTAGCTGTGGTATTCAGGATGGATTCTACATTTTCTACATCCTCTACAGAATTTAGAGTTTGTTGCTTAGTAGATGTAGACTTGTCACAGCATATTGGGATCAAAGGAGTTTCTATTGGTGTGTTTGAGACTATTGGTGTGTACGTGTGTATACCTGTGTATGTCTACTGTCCTATCTGACAATGATAACGCTGCTCTGTCTGTTTGGCGTTCCTAGTGTGGAGCCGATGGCTGACTTCTTAACTCTTCTCTGCCCTCATGCTGCACTGCAAATGGCGTGGCTCACCTTGGCCTGGTATGGTTTGGTTTGATCCATCAGACTCCACCGGTGGAGAAACCCAGCCTGCTACCCCTGCAGCTGCCTCTGGTGCTGAGCTGATGGCAGGTAATGTACTTACCGAAGCACAACACACCCACCAGGCATGACACAAACAACAGGCATGACACAAACAACAGGCATGACCCATTCACATTGTATGCAAGACGAATAACAGTAAATACACCACATCTACGGTTGTAAAGGTAGGGTGTATTACTGGAAACTTTCTACGTTTACCAGTAAACAACCAGCATTTTGGTTCCTTTCAAGGTTTATTTGGAATTCTATCAGATGACATCTAGTGGCCTTTTTGGGTACTTCAGATGAATAATAATAATAATAATAATAATAATAATTATTATTATTATATAATCTTATTCATATCTATATTAGATATATATATTAGGTTTTAGATTATTAATAATTGTGAATCATGATCATATTTATAAATATAATAATTGCACATTATAATACAATAATAACAATATAATATTATTATTATATAATATATATATATATAATGTATTAATACAATTAATAATATAATTAGAATAGAGTTATTATTAAAATTAATTATTAGATTAGTGTTATTAGTAGATTAGATTAGTAGTATCAATAATAAATAATAATCCTTATCTATTATTAGATAGATGATAGATTATCAATATTAGATATAGATATACACTGAGTGCACAAAACATTAAGGACACCTGCGCTTTCCATGACATTGACTGACCAGGTGAAAGCTATGATCACGTATTGATGTCACTTGTTAAATCTCACTTTGAAGGGGAGGAGACAGGTTATAGAAGGATTTTTAAGCCTTGAGACAATTGAGACATGGATTGTGTATGTGTGCCATTCAGAGGGTGAAAGGGCACGACAAAAGATTTAAGTGCCTTTGAACGGGGTATGGTAGTAGGTGGCAGGCTGTAAAACATTATCCTAAATATAAACCATCAAATTTTGCATTTACATTTTAGTCATTTAGCAGACACTCTTATCCAGAGAGACTTACAGTGCATTCGGAAAGTATTCAGACCCCTTGACTTTTTCCACATTTTGTTACGTTACAGCCTTATTCTAAAATTGATTAAATTGATTTTCCCCCTCATCAATCTGCACACAATACCACATAATGACAAAGCAAAAACAGGTTTTTAGATAAATAAGGTATTTCTGTTTGATTTTTTTTATAAATTTGCAAAAAAATCTAAAAACCTGTTTTCGCGTTGTCATTTTAATCAAATTTAGAATAAGGCTGTAATGTAACAAAATGTGGAAAAAGGGAAGAGGTCTGAATACTTTCCGAATGCACTGTACAGTTAGTTCATTAATCGTAAGATAGCTAGGTGAGACAACAACACATCACAATCGTATCATGTATATTTTCCCTCAACAAAGTATTTATCAGCAAAGTCAGTGCTAGTGGGAAAAGAGCATGAAATATTCTTTATATATATTCTACACACTTTTATTTACTATGTCAATATGTCTTTGTTGTAAATGTTTTGGTGCCAAACTGGTGGCAGTTGTGAAAAAAGTCAATAGTTGGAAGAGTTAATTGAAAATAATGCCATTGTTGATTAGATGCATTTTTTCATTCATTAGACTATTTCCTGTTGAACCATATGGTCTATCTACTAGAAACTCATGGAAAATATGGACACAGATATAATAAATTAATACTACATGTGAATACATTTTTTAAAAAGTTATTAAAGTACAAATTACCAAAGTTACCATAGATTACTTCTTCATTACCGAAAGTTCCTGTAACTTTGGTAAATTACCGGTAGCTTTGCAACCCTAATCACATATAATACTTTCCATTGTATTATGTAACCATATAACCAAATATATCTCACATTAAAGAGTTACAGTAGATACAGTGGGGAGAACAAGTATTTGATACACTGCCAATTTTGCAGGTTTTCCTACTTACAAAGCATGTAGAGGTCTGTAATTTTTATCATAGGTACACTTCAACTGTGAGAGATGGAATCTAAAACAAAAATCCAGAAAATCACATTGTATGATTTTTAAGTAATTCATTTGCATTTTATTGCATGACATAAGTATTTGATACATCAGAAAAGCAGAACTTAATATTTGGTACAGAAACCTTTGTTTGCAATTACAGAGATCATACGTTTCCTGTAGGTCTTGACTAGGTTTGCACACACTGCAGCAGGGATTTTGACCCACTCCTCCATACAGACCTTCTCCAGATCCTTCAGGTTTCGGGGCTGTCGCTGGGCAATACGGACTTTCAGCTCCCTCCAAAGATTTTCTATTGGGTTCAGGTCTGGAGACTGGCTAGGCCACTCCAGGACCTTGAGATGCTTCTTACGGAGCCACTCCTTAGTTGCCCTGGCTGTGTGTTTCGGGTCGTTGTCATGCTGGAAGACCCAGCCACGACCCATCTTCAATGCTCTTACTGAGGGAAGGAGGTTGTTGGCCAAGATCTCGCGATACATGGCCCCATCCATCCACCCCTCAATACGGTGCAGTCGTCCTGTCCCCTTTGCAGAAAAGCATCCCCAAAGAATGATGTTTCCACCTCCATGCTTCACGGTTGGGATGGTGTTCTTGGGGTTGTACTCATCCTTCTTCTACCTCCAAACACGGCGAGTGGAGTTTAGACCAAAAAGCTATATTTTTGTCTCATCAGACCACATGACCTTCTCCCATTCCTCCTCTGGATCATTCAGATGGTCATTGGCAAACTTCAGACGGGCCTGGACATGGGCTGGCTTGAGCAGGGGGACCTTGCGTGCGCTGCAGGATTTTAATCCATGACGGTGTAGTGTGTTACTAATGGTTTTCTTTGAGACTGTGGTCCCAGCTTTCTTCAGGTCATTGACCAGGTCCTGCCGTGTAGTTCTGGGCTGATCCCTCACCTTCCTCATGATCATTGATGCCCCACGAGGTGAGATCTTGCATGGAGCCCCAGACCGAGGGTGATTGACCGTCATCTTGAACTTCTTCCATTTTCTAATAATTGCGCCAACAGTTGTTGCCTTCTCACCAAGCTGCTTGCCTATTGTCCTGTAGCCCATCCCAGCCTTGTGCAGGTCTACAATTTCATCCCTGATGTCCTTACACAGCTCTCTGGACTTGGCCATTGTGGAGAGGTTGGAGTCTGTTTGATTGAGTGTGTGGACAGGTGTCTTTTATACAGGTAACGAGTTCAAACAGGTGCAGTTAATACAGGTAATGAAAACATCATACAATGTGATTTTCTGGATTTTTTTACCTATGATAAATATTACAGACCTCTACATGCTTTGTAAGTAGGAAACCCTGCAAAATCGGCAGTGTATCAAATACTTGTTCTCCCCACTGTATATTGAATGTCTATTGTGTATGTACAGTGAGGGGAAAAAAGTATTTGATCCCCTGCTGATTTTGTACATTTGCCCACTGACAAAGAAATGATCAGTCTATAATTTTAATGGTAGGTTTATTTGAACAGTGAGAGACAGAATAACAACAACAAAATCCAGAAAAACGCATGTCAAAAATGTTATAAATTGATTTGCATTTTAATGAGGGAAATAAGTATTTGACCCCTCTGCAAAACATGACTTAGTACTTGGTGGCAAAACCCTTGTTGGCAATCACAGAGGTCAAACGTTTCTTGTAGTTGGCCACCAGTTTTATCTCAGGAGGGATTTTGTCCCAATCCTCTTTGCAGATCTTCTCCAAGTCATTAAGGTTTCAAGGCTGACGTTTGGCAACTCTAACCTTCAGCTCCCTCCACAGATTTTATATGGGATTAAGGTCTGGAGACTGGCTAGGCCACTCCAGGACCTTAATGTGCTTCTTCTTGAGCCACTCCTTTGTTGCCTTGGCCATGTGTTTTGGGTCATTGTCATGCTGGAATACCCATCCACGACCCATTTTCAATGCCCTGGCTGAGGGAAGGAGGTTCTCACCCAAGATTTGACGGTACATGGCCCCGTCCATCGTCCCTTTGATGCGGTGAAGTTGTCCTGTCCCCTTAGCAGAAAAACACCCTCAAAGCATAATGTTTCCACCTCCTCCTCAGTCCTTCACGGCGTAGTGTGTTACCAATTGTTTTCTTGGTGATTATGGTCCCAGCTTGCCTTGAGATCATTGACAAGATCCTCCCGTTTAGTTCTGGGCTGATTCCTCACCGTTCTCATGATCATTGCAACTCGTGTTGCTGTTCAAATAAGCCTACCATTAAAATGATAGACTATTAATTTCTTTGTCAGTGGGCAAACGTACAAAATCAGCAGGGGATCAAATACTTTTTTCCCTCACTGTACATCCTGAGTGTATGTAACTTGTGAACATACCTTGGTGTTATGGCCATTCCACATGCACATGCTGTTGTGTATGGTCATTCTCATTCTAGAATATCTCCTTAGTTGTCTCTCTCTCTCAGTTGATGATGTGTGCATTGGTTGACTTTTTCACATTTTACAGTGGCAACGTTCCATGTGCTTACCAGGTTCATGATCATGGCTGTCACTGCCCTGCATGTTATGTAAATGATGACCTGCAAATACTACTGTTTAAGCCTTAACTCTCTCTCTCCTCCATCTCTCTTTCTCTCGCGACATTTGTCATCTCTAACTCACATTATTTTTCCCTCCACTACTCTGTCCTTCTGTCCCTTTATTCTTACCCTTGCACCATCTCTCTCCCTCCCTCTGTTTTCTCTCTCTCTCCCTCTGCACTTTGTCTCCCTCTCTCTCTCTCTCTCTCTCTCACATGCGCGCTCTCTCACACTCTCTGTCCTCTCTCTTTCTATCTCTTTCTCTCTCGTTCCTCTATCTCCTTCTCTCGCTCCATCTGGCTCTGGGGCTGGCTCATTGCTTGCTTCCTGCTCTCTGATTGGGTGAGTGTTCTGGCTCGTTGATGCGCTGTTTCCCACAGTGCATTGCTGCATTGCAGTAAGAGAGCAACTGCTGCTGTTCTGTTCCCTCTGCTCTGACCGATGCCTAATAAATAGGGTGTGTGAGTCGTTCACATCACAATGCCCACTTAGCTTGGTACTGGCTGAGCTGCAGTGCTTTCTCTCTAGAGTAGTGGCTGCATCCTTACTGTCGCCAAGATACAAAGGATGATGCCCTATCTCAAACAAGATAGCTAATAGGATAGTAATACTATTGAGTAGTGTTGAGTAGACAACATATTTATGCTGTTTATTGATATTACATGGAGAGTATTACTTAAACTGTACATTGCGTGTGTGTTGTGTGTGTTGAGGCACAGTATGAGGGCTTGCCTCTTAACATTCCAATGTTATGCTCCTCTCTGATCACTGTTGTCATGGAGACCCTCTCGATGGGTTGTCATGGTAATCCCACTCGTAAGGAGGACCCCTCTATTATGATCAGAGAGGATTATTGTGGCTGTTTGACCTAAACCTGTCTCTCACCCCTCTCTCTCTCTCTCTCTCTCTCTCTCTCTCTCTCTCTCTCTCTCTCTCTCTCTCTCTCGCTCTCCCCCCCTCTCTCCCTCCCCCCCTCTCTCCCTCCACTCCATTGCTATCTCTCCCCCCTCCCCCCTCCCCCCTCCTCTGTCTCTCCTGTAGCGTTTGATGGTCTAGGGGATGTGTTGATGCCTGCTATGACGCCCCAGACCGGGGCCACCTCATCTCCAGTTAAACCTATGGGAGGGGACCTAGACGCCACCATGGCTAGCATGGCTAGCAGTAAGTCTCTGAACAGTCTCTGAGTCTCTGAGCAGACACAGGACAGGGATTCTCAATTTGGCCTGAATCATTTCAGCATCATGGTGCTGTCCATCTATGCATAGACATGTTCCTATAACATTTACATTTACATTTTAGTCATTTAGCAGACGCTCTTAACCAGAGCGACTTACAGGAGCAATTAGGGTTAAGTGCCTTGCTCAAGGGCACATTAACGTCATTTAGCAGACGCTCTTAGCCAGAGCGACTCACAAATTGGTGCGTTCACCCTATAGCCAGTGGGATAACCACTTTACAATTTGGGGGGGGGGGGGGGGGGGGGGGGTTAGAAGGAATACTTTAGCCTATCCCAGGTATTCCTTAAAGAGGTGGGGTTTCAAATGTCTCCGGAAGGTGGTGAGTGACTCCGCTGTCCTGGCGTCGTGAGGGAGCTTGTTCCACCATTGGGGTGCCAGAGCAGCGAACAGTTTTGACTGGGCTGAGCGGGAGCTGTGCTTCCGCAGAGGAAGGGGAGCCAGCAGGCCAGAGGTGGATGAACGCAATGTCCTCGTTTGGGTGTAGGGACTGATCAGAGCCTGAAGGTACAGGGGTGCCGTTCCCCTCACTGCTCCAAAGGCAAGCACCATGGTCTTGTAGCGGATGCGAGCTTCAATTGGAAGCCAGTGGAGTGTGCGGAGGAGGGGGGGTGACGTGAGAGAACTTGGGAAGGTTGAACACCAGACGGGCTGCGGCATTCTGGATGAGTTGTAGGGGTTTAATGGCACAGGCAGGGAGCCCAGCCAACAGCGAGTTGCAGTAGTCCAGACGGGAGATGACAAGTGCCTGGACCAGGACCTGCGCCGCTTCCTGTGTAAGGCAGGGTCGCACTCTCCGAATGTTGTAGAGCATGAACCTGCAGGAGCGGGTCACCGCCTTGATGTTGGCGGAGAACGACAGGGTGTTGTCCAGGGTCACGCCTAGGCTCTTCGCACTCTGGGAGGAGGACACAGCGGAGTTGTCTACCGTGATGGCGAGATCATGGAACGGGCAGTCCTTCCCCGGGAGGAAGAGCAGCTCCGTCTTGCCAGGGTTCAGCTTGAGGTGGTGATCCGTCATCCATACTGATATGTCTGCCAGACATGCAGAGATGCGATTCGCCACCTGGTTATCAGAAGGGGGAAAGGAGAAGATTAGTTGTGTATCGTCAGCGTAGCAATGATAGGAAAGGCCATGTGAGGATATGACAGAGCCAAGTGACTTGGTGTATAGGGGGAAAAGGAGAGGGCCCAGAACCGATCCCTGGGGGACACCAGTGGTGAGAGCACGTGGTGCGGAGACAGCTTCCCGCCACGCCACTTGGTAGGAGCGACCGGTCAGGTAGGACGCAATCCAGGAGTGAGCCGCGCCGGAGATGCCCATTTCGGAGAGGGTGGAGAGGAGGATCTGATGGTTCACAGTATCAAAGGCAGCAGACAGGTCTAGAAGGACAAGAGCAGAGGAGAGAGAGTTAGCTTTAGCAGTGCGGAGAGTCTCTGTGACACAGAGAAGAGCAGTCTCAGTTGAATGACCAGTCCTGAAACCTGATTGGTTTGGATCAAGAAGGTCATTCTGAGAGAGATAGCAAGAGAGTTGGCTAAAGACGGCACGCTCAATAGTTTTGGAAAGAAAAGAAAGAAGGGATACTGGTCTGTAGTTGTTGACATCAGTGGGGTCGAGTGTTGGTTTTTTGAGAAGGGGAGTAACTCTCGCTCTCTTGAAGACGGAAGGGACATGGCCAGCGGTCAAGGATGAGTTGATCAGCGAGGTGAGGTAGGGGAGAAGGTCACCGGAGATGGTCTGGAGAAGGGAGGAGGGGATGGGGTCAAGCGGGCAGGTTGTTGGGCGGCCTGCAGTCACAAGTCGCAGGATCTTATCTGGAGAGAGAGGGGAGAAAGAAGTCAAAGCATAGGGTAGGGCAGTGTGAGCAGGACCAGCAGTGTCATTAGACTTAACAAACAAGGATCGGATGTCGTCAACCTTCTTTTCAAAGTGGTTGACGAAGTCATCCACAGAGAGAGAGGAGGGGGGGGGGGGGGAGGGAGGATTCAGGAGGGAGGAAAATGTGGCAAAGAGCTTTCTAGGGTTAGAGGCAGATGCTTGGAATTTAGAGTGGTAGAAGGTGGCCTTAGCAGCAGAAACAGATGAAGAAAATGTAGAGAGGAGGGAGTGAAAAGATGCCAGGTCGGCAGGGAATTTAGTTTTCTTCCATTTCCGCTCCGCTGCCCGGAGCTCTGTTCTGTGAGCTCGCAATGAGTCATCAAGCCACGGAGCTGGAGGGGAGGACCGAGCCGGCCGGGAGGATAGGGGACACAGAGAGTCAAAGGATGCAGAAAGGGAGGAGAGGAGGGTTGAGGAGGCAGAATCAGGAGATTGGAGGGAGAAGGATTGAGCAGAGGGAAGAGATGATAGGATGGAAGAGGAGAGAGTAGTGGGAGAGAGAGAGCGAAGGTTGCGGCGGCGCATTACCATCTGTGTAGGGGCAGAGTGAGTAGTGTGGGAGGAGAGTGAGAGAGAAAAGGAAACAAAGTAGTGGTCGGAGACTTGGAGGGGAGTTGCAGTGAGATTAGTAGAGGAGCAGCATCTAGTGAAGATGAGGTCAAGCGTATTGCCTGCCTTGTGAGTAGGGGGGGACGGTGAGAGGGTGAGGTCAAAAGAGGAGAGGAGTGGAAAGAAGGAGGCAGAGAGAAATGAGTCAAATGTGGACATAGGGAGGTTGAAATCCCCCAAAACTGTGAGGGGTGAGCCATCCTCAGGGAAGGAACTCATCAAGGCGTCAAGCTCATTGATGAACTCTCCAAGGGAACCTGGAGGGCGATAGATGACAAGGATATTAAGCTTAAATGGGCTAGTGACTGTGACAGCATGGAATTCAAATGAGGAGATAGACAGATGGGTTAGGGGAAAAATTGAGAATGTCCACTTGGGAGAGATGAGGATTCCTGTACCACCACCCCTCTGACCAGATGCTCTCGGGGTATGCGAGAACACATGGTCAGACGAGGAGAGAGCAGTAGGAGTAGCGGTGTTTTCAGTGGTGATCCATGTTTCCGTCAGCGCCAGGAAGTCGAGGGACTGGAGGTTGGCATAGGCTGGGATGAAGTCAGCTTTGTTGGCAGCAGAACGGCAGTTCCAGAGGCTGCCTGCGACCTGGAACTCCACGTGGGTGGTGCGTGCAGGGACCACCAGATTGGAGAGGCAGCAGCCACGCGGTGTGGTGCGTTTGTGTAGCCTGTGCAGAGAGGAGAGAACAGGGATAGGCAGAGGCATAGTTGACAGGCTGTAGCAAATGGCTACAAAAATGCAGAGGAGATCGGAATGAAATGGGCTAAGCATCTGGGAGCGGAGAGAGCAGGGCCTCCCTCACCAAAACTTCTACCTCGGAAACTAAAATTGTTTCACTGAACCACCCGAAGAAAAAAAACTCTCCCAACTTCCGCCTTTGGAAATCAGAATTGTTGTGAACCACAGCGGTTCAATGTTTAAAGGAGTAGACTCAACCCACTTTGTTCAGCTAGCCAACTATGACTCCATAGCCAACTAGCAGACTAGCATCCAATAACAATAACACACCGTTTAGCGCCAACACTTGGTCACAACAAACCACCAATATTGTGATAACACACTAAACAGATCATTCGTGTCTGTGTCAAGTTCCTTACATGACGCAGCAATGATTAGACGTTGGCTAGCTAGGACAAGTAAATTGTGGTTAGCTACTACAGTACAGCCAGATGGTCATGTTGGGTAGCTAGCAATGGCCACTGTGTCGACTCTGTTTGAAGAACGGCTAGCTAGCTAGCTTCGTGCTACAGCTGGCACGGCCGAGGACACTGCCAAGACACAGTAACTACCCACAACAACCCACGAAGCCTAGCTATGACGCCGCAGCCAACCTGCAAGCTAGCATCCATTAACACACAACTTAGCATCAACACCTGGCCACAACAAACTGCCAAGAGTGTGTCAGCACACCAAACAGACAATTCAAGTCCGTGTCGAGTTCCCTTCACAACGCAGCAAAAAAAATAAAATAATAATAATTAAACGTTGGAACCAGCTCTCCAGCGTTGCTAATCGTTACCAATAGCTACCCGCTAGCTAGCTAGCTTCGTGCCTCGATACTAACCCACAATTACCCACGGAAAGCTACAATAACAACAATACTAACCTACAATAAATACAATACCTAACTACAGCTAACTACCTACCTACGATCTAATACATGGTTAAGCAAAAGTTAAACGTTGGGTAGGACTACATTACCGTTGGAGCCAGCTCTCCAGCGTTGCTAAACGTTACCAATAGCTACCCGCTAGCTAGCTAGCCTCGTGCCTCGATACTAACCCACAATTACCCACGGAAAGCTACAATAACAACAATACTAACCTACAATAAATACAATACCTAACTACAGCTAACTACCTACCTACGATCTAATACATGGTTAAGCTTTACTCAACACTACATGTAGCTTACCTCCTACTTACCTCCAGCCAGAGAAAAACACGTCCTCTCCACTTGGCAGTGAGGTAAGCTACATGTAGTGTTGAGTATTTACACCCAGGGGCCCATTTATTAGGTACACCCATCTAGTACTGGGTCAGACCCCCCCTTTGCCTCCAGAACAGCCTGAATTCTTTGGGGCACCGTTGACACCAGGCAGGATGGGGCCATGGACTCGTGCTACTTACGCCAAATCCTGACTCTGCCATCAGCATATAACCAATCTCACCTTATTGTATCGTTACTCAACATGTATTTACACCCAGGGGCCCGTTTATTAGGTACACCCATCTAGTACTGGGTCAGACCCCCCCTTTGCCTCCAGAACAGCCTGAATTCTTTGGGGCACCGTTGACACCAGGCAGGATGGGGCCATGGACTCGTGCTACTTACGCCAAATCCTGACTCTGCCATCAGCATGGCGCAACAGGAACCGGGAATCCTTGGACCAGGCAATGTTTTTCCACTCCTCAATTGTCCAGTGTTGGTGATCGCGTGCCCACTGGAGCCACTTCTTCTTGTTTTTAGCTGATAGGAGTGGAACCCGGTGTGGCCGTCTGCTGCAATAGCCCATCCGTGACAAGGACCAATGAGTTGTGTGTTCCGAGATGCCGTTCTGCACATCACTGTTGTACTGCGCCGTTATTTGCCTGTTTGTGGCCTGCCTGTTAGCTTGCACCGACGATCATAGCACGCTCAAAGTCGCTTAGGTCACTCGTTTTGCCCATTCTAATGTTCAATCGAACAGTAACTGAATGCTTCGATGCCTGTCTGCTTGCTTTATATGGCAAGCCATGGCCACGTGACTCACTATCTGTAGGAGCAAACCATTTCCGTGAACGGCAACTGAGTGTACATGGTAGTTACAAAGCCAGATACAGTGTAATTACAGTGGAGTTATATAATGTTACATAGTACTTACAACCCAGATCTTCAAAAAGTTCTATAGCTGCACCATCGAGAGCATCCTGACCGGTTACATCACCGCCTGGTATGGCAACTACTCTGCATCCGACCGTAAGGCGCTACAGAGGGTAGTGCGTATGGCCCACAGTACATCACTGGGGCCAAGCTTCCTGCCATCCAGGACCTATATACCTATATACTAGGCGGTGTCAGAGGAAGGGCCAAATAATTGTCAAAGACTCCAGTCACCCAAGTCATAGACTGTTCTCTCTGCTACCGCACGGCAAGCGGTACCGGAGCGCCAAGTCTAGGTCCAAAAGGCTCCTTAACAGCTTCTACCCCCAAGCCATAAGACTGCTGAACAATTAATCAAATGGCCACCCGGACTATTTACATTGACCCCCCCCCCCCCCCCCCCCCCCCCCCCCCCCCCCCCCCCCCACACACACTTTGTTTAATATCTATACATAGTCAACTTACCTCGACTAACCTGTACCCCCGCACATTGACTCGGTACCGGTACCCCCTGTATATAGCCTCGTTATTGTTATTTTATTGTGTTACTTTTTATTTAATTTTTTACTTTCGTTTATTTAGTAAATATCTTCTTAACTCTATTTATTGAACTGCATTTGTAAGTAAGCATTTCACGGTAAGGTCTACACCTGTTGTATTCGGCGCATGTGACAAATACAATTTTATTTGATAAGATACTAAATGTACATTATTCTGTCTGACTGGGAAATGTCTTATTTTCTCTCTTTCAGATCTGGGAATGGGGAGCCAAAAACCGTAAGTTTTCCTGTTTTGAGTATGTGTCACTTTGTGTTTTGACATGTCATGGATTACAATCACAAGCGCTCAATGAACTTTACATTTTAAGAGGTTGGGGTCCTCTGTCTTTTCTTGCTCTCTTTCTATTGGCTTATTGACTGATTGACATCTCTTCCGCAGGGGGGAGAATACGATGGGAGGCTGGTCAACTCCTCAGGTAGCTCCTCCAAGTTGGGGAGCTCCCATGGTAAATCTTGTCTGTGTCATATAGCATGGATTGCAGCCACATGGCAGTAACAGGCATGGCATGGAGCCAATCACACACGTCGCTCCTCTCTGACTCTCCAGGGTGGTCCAATCACATTTGGAATTTGGACATTTGGTGTTTGGTTTAAAAGGGGTGAACATTTTGTGGGAAAACTATGGAGAGCTCTGAGAGGGCTGAGGTTTGTCCCAAACCAAGGAGCTGCTTGGTTCTGACCTCGAGCAAGCCATCGGACACTCATCTACATATTTCCTTATGTCAACCCCCATTTCTTTAGCAACAGCTCCTCTTTCCAGTGTCCAAACGAAACCCAATACAAAACAGTCCCTTTTAGATCGCTTTATCTTCATCATTTAATTGCTGCACTAACCATTAGCCAAAAAAGCTTTTGCTATAGGGTCTGTTGTTACTGTATTAACCCATGGCTTCAACTGTTCATTTAGCCAAAGCCTCACCACTGACATGAATATCAGATAATTAGTTGCTGATTAAACTGGCTTGCCTGATCATGTATTCTTATAATTGACCCTGTGCTCTTCAAATGCTTCTGCATGAACCTGATTTTAGAGGTTAGGTTAGATATTTTTTATGTGCTGTGCTTTGCTGTTCTCTCTGTGTTTGTGTGTGTGTGCGCGTGTGTGCGTGTGTCTTAAAACAGTTTTTTATGATGTCTTTGTCTATGTTTTGTATGTGTGCGTGTCAGTGATATGTCTCTGTGTTTGTTGTTGCAATGTTGTCTTTACTGTGCCTGTGTTGTATGTAGTGTAGTAACGTCCCACCTCCTCTCCCCACTCCACACCCCTAGAACGTTCCAATGGGGTCCCCTTCTTTTATGGGGTCTTACCAAGGATTCAGCATGGTAAGACCACCCCGCCCTCAACCTAGGACCATTAGGAGCACCTAAGATGGCCAATGACCCCTTTAGGTGGCCCATGTACGCATCTCTAAAATGGCTGCCATAGTGTCTGACTGTCTCCTCTCTCTCTCTCAGGGCGGGGCGGCCGGCACTGGAGCTCCCATGATGCCCATGGTTAGGCCAGGCTTTGGAGCCCCTGCAGCCCCAGGAGCACCGGTAAGACACACACACACACACACAGAGAGAGTACACACAGACACACACACATATACACACACAGACACACCTATTTCATGAAACACTGTTTCCTGTGACAGATGGGATCTCCAGGGATGGCCGGGAGCCCGAGGAAGCCTCCGCCCCCCAAGAATGCCCTGGACGACCTCAACATCAAGGACTTCATGTAAACCCCTCTAACCCAACCCTCCAAGGTAGGGTTCTCTCACAGTGGCACCAAACGACATACACACAATGCAAAGAAAAGAGACAGTTACTGTGCATTCAGAAAGTATTCAGACCCCTTGACTTCTTCCACATTTTGTTACGTTACGGCCTTATTCTATAATTGATTCAATTCATTTTTTCCGTCATCAATCTACACACAATACCCCATAATGACAAAGCGAAAACAGGTTTAAAAAACAGAAATAACTTATTTACATAAGTATTCAGACCCTTTGGTATGAGACTCGAAATTGATCACTGGTGCATTCTGTTTCACTTGATCATCCTTGAGATGTTTTTACAACTTGATTGGAGTCCACCTGTGGTAAGTTCAATTGATTGGACATGATTTGGAAAGGCACACATCTGTTTATATAAGGTCCCACAGTTGACAGTGCATGTCAGAGCAAAAACCAAGCCATGAGGTCGAAGGAATTGTCCGTAGAGCTCAGAGACAGGATTGTGTTGACGCACAGATCTGGAGAAGGGTACAAAAACATTTCTGCAGCATTGAAGGTCCCCAAGAACACAGTGGCCTCCATAATTCTTAAATGGAAGACGTTTGGAACCACCAAGACTCTTACTAGAGCTGGCCGCCCGGCCAAACTGAGTAATCGGGGGAGAAGGGCCTTGGTCAGTGAGGTGACCAAGAACCCGATGGTCACTCTGACAGAGCTCAAGAGTTCCTCTGTGGAGATGGGATAACCTTCCAAAGCATGGTGGTGGCAGCATCATGCTGTGGGGATGTTTTTCAGCGGCAAGGAGACTAATTAGCAAACATTTCTAAAAACCTGTTTTTGCTTTGTCATTATTGGGTATTGTGTGTAGATTGATGTGGAAAAAAACGATTTAATCCATTTGAGAATAAGGCTGTAACGTAACAAAATGTGGAAAAAGTCAAGGGGTCTGAATACTTTCCGAAGGCACTGTACATAATAACATTGTGGTAATCGTCCCTCTCTCTGTCTCTGTCTCTTCTCTCCTGAGGTTGTTGTTGTGTCTGGAGCTATGGATGTGGATGTGTGTACTCCCCGTCTCCCTCCTGTCACGCCCCAGCCCCTTCAGCCAACCAACCATCAGCACTACGACCCCTGTCCTCTGACGACCCCTGTCCTCTGACGACCCCTGTCCTCTGACTTCCCCGGAACCTCTGTCTGCTGTTGTAGCAAAAACTGTGGATGTGAATCATAGATACAGAAAACAAAATTGTGTGTGTGAGTGTGTATGTACTTCAATGTTATCCTTTACCTAAACTAAGACAAAATGTACCATAAAAAATTCCAGTGTATTTAGATTAGTTCTGGAACTCCCATGTGTCAGCTGACTTGGAATGGTGGATCTGTGATGATTTTCTTGCGGGTTTCCCAGACGAGGACTGTGTTGTTAACCATGGACTGTGTTCGGTGTGTGTAAACCTCACTGGCCAATCCCTTGCCCTATCCCGTCCCTCACTATCCAATCAAATTCTGTGCTGAACTGTCTTCTGACATCATTCAACACTTAGTTGTACTTCTCTCCATTAATTGATCCATCCAGCCTCTTTTAGAACAGATACAGTTCTATTGGTTGTATATTTATGAATATTGAAAGATGTACAACTGTCACCACAAATCTAGGTTTACAAATCATATGACAAAATGTTTTTTTGTTTTTTTGTCTGTTTTTTTTTATTGTGTGTTACATGCAACATTCGTGGACTATGTTAAAATTGACATATGCATTTTAGAATATTTTAAAGTATAGATTATACATATATTTCTTTAATCTTTATTTTGAGATAAAATGTATCATATATTTTAGTTATGTCTATGAATTCTAAGGTTTAAAAAAATTCAAGGAGTTTAAAAAAAGATCCTTTCCCTTGTATATATCTCTATATCTGTATTTGGAGGCAGTATTGAATGCATCTCAGCCCCCAGTGTTTACTGTGGCTCTCCCTGTTGGTGTGGAGTGTTACTGCATTTGAGCGTGTCAAGTGAAGTTGATCTGAGCTGCATCCAAATACATTTAGAAATCCTAATTTACTTGTCTCCTTTCCTTAACGGCCAATTATCTGAATTGAATCGATAGATGAAAGGCAATTGGTGAAAACCAATGCAGTCCTTACAACCTATCAGTGGTCATGAAGTGAAGGCGACAAGGACAATTGTTGGGACACAGCCTATGACCACCTAAGGTCATTGTGGAGCAGTGATCAGTAGGGTTGTATTGTCTCCCGTAGCAACGCTCAGAGGTGTTGGGAACTCATTGGCTGTAAACCGCTCAGATATACACTGGATGTTCCATGTGTTGTTTTTCTTCCAAAGTGACTATCTTAATCTGTTGTGAAAAAAAAGTATTGAGAAAGAAAAAACAAATAAAACATAAAAAAGAATGTGGATAACAATGTTTGCTATATATTTGGTTGAAGGCAGTGTTTGGTTCTTGGATGGCATCACTCCTCTCCTCTCCCCCACTTGCATGTGAGTCCCTTGAGATGCAATAAAATACAAATACACTGATGGAAAGTCTTCAGGCCTCATCACTTATGTCTCCACTGTTGTCATTCATGCTTGAACATGTTCAGTCCATCACAAGTATTTTGGTATTCAACGGTAGGTTGTAATATAAATACTTTTTTTATTTTATTTTTTACATCACTATTGATATCACATGTTTTATCAAGCAAAATGTATGTTTAGGACATACTCAACAAAATACACATTTACACTCAAAATATAGACCTTGGAAAAAATATTCTGATAGCAAAACTATGAATCATGTAGAGACAGTAAAAACAAAGATTTGCTCATGTAAAATCATCACCAATGGAACTCATCTTAGCACCCATATTATGTGCACAATGGGCATTTCTTGGAAGCAAAACATACAAAGGCACATGTGACAAAGAAACCTGTTTTTTAGTGCACCATAGAATTTCGAGACCTCCAAACTATTATTTTGGCAGTCTAGATAGGGATCCTGTTTGATTGACCAGAGCAAGAAAATCATCCCATATTCCAAAGTCCCTATTCCATCTGATCTGTCTGTGCTGGCCATAGTTAGTTTGTCCACCACCGTCTCAGTGAAAGGCGTACATGAATGCAAATCTTATTTTTTCTTCCTCTGATCCAGTCTGACAGATCCCTGGTGTCTCAGGCCTCCCTACACATGCTGGGATCCCCATGGATCCAGTGGCCAGATCTGGGCGTATTTAGGTGGAGTGATCCTCACCGCCATATTATAGTCCCTCTGCTCACCCCCACCCCCGTCCCCGTCTACCCAGCGATGCCCTGAGAACACCCCGATAACCTTCCGCTGCCACTTCCCCTTATTGGACCCCTCCACTTCCTGTCTGAGGCGGATGTATACACCAGCGCCTGACGCCCCCTGCTGGGCGTCACAGTGCTGATACAACAGGTCGTCTGACTCCTCTGTCACTGAACAGAAGCGATAGACCACCTTTTCCCTCTCTCCCTCCGTTTGTCCTCCCTCTGGCTCGTTGTCGAACCCTGAGAAGTGGATGCGACCCAAGGGGAGAGGCTTTGCAGCGGCCAATAAACCCAGTTCATGTGCTTCTGTTTGATTGGCCGTTTGAGCTCCAGGAGGGCGTAGTCGTAGCCGTGGGATACGGCGTTGGTTCTATCTCCTGTGTGTATCCAACCTTTGGGGATGTGGGTTTGTTTTACAACGTGTCCAGTGGAAGGAGGGCTGCTTTTGGGTTCGGTGCTGCGTTGTACACGGCTACTTCTGCTACCTCTCTTCTCTGCCTAGTCCCTCCTCCTCTCCTCTCCTTCTCCATGTTCCCTCCTTCACCTCCCTCTGCTCCGTCTCCCCATCAACCCTGTTCTGTATCTCCATTTCGCCCTTCCCCCTTCTCTGAATCCCTCCCCTCCGTCTCTGCTCTGTCCTCGGTTCTTCTCCATCTATTCCATTCCCTTTCTCTCTTCTCCTACATTCCTCTCCTTCCCTTTCCTTGCTTTCCACATCTCCTCCTCTCCTCCCCCCTCTCCTCCCCCTCTCCTCCTCCCACCCCCCCTACCTCGTTTAGATTTGAACTGTAGGACTCCCACTTTAAGCCTGGGACCCCTGCAGGTAGTCCTTCCCATCGTGGACACAGTGAGCCGCCGTCAGGATGTGTTTTGTCAGACACTTGGACCCCCGAGCAGCCCGTGGACAGGCGGACCGCCGTGGAGAACGGGTAGCTGGTGGTGAAGTGATGCTGTCCGAGATGACGAAGCGCCCGTCCTCGCCGTACACCTGACGTTTCTGCGAGTGTGTGAGGTTTTGGGTAATGGTGTTGTGTTGAGGTTGTGTCATTCAGGCCTGCAGCGTGACGTCAGTTTGTGTGCGCGTGCCATTCTCGTACACCGTCTCGTATCCCAGCATGCTCTCCAGCGCAGCCCAGTCGGGAGGGGGGAGGGCGCTCTGACACTCTATCCCACCCCCCCCTCCTTATCCCACCTGCCCCTCAGTCTTCCCACCAAACGTGGGGGTCCGCAGATGCACTGTGTGCCTGTCCAGAATCAACGGGACCCTCTGCACGGACCAGCCATACTCTTCATCAAACACCTTTACCGTGGCCCCCCAGACAGGAACACACAGGGGCAGGGCACAGAGCAGCAGCAGACACAGGGAATGGAGCCATCACACTGCTCCACCAGGGCCTAAGAGAAAGAGAGGAGGAGTGCGCCAAAATTACAGGTCACTGGTGTATAAAATGAGGCCAGCGAGGGCGCTCAATCCCCCACAGTCATCAACAACTGCTTGAGCGTTATTGAAGCCTTCTCTTTGCAAAGGTGGTGTCACCGGCAGATGGCGCTGGTAGTGAAGTCCATTACGTTTGGAACAGTTTGTGGCACAGGGTGAGAAATTGTTACATTTAATTGGCTCCAACAATAGCTTAATTTCCTCTGATGATTCCATGTTTTAACTATTCTCTACACAAGGAAAATATTATCATACCAAGCTTGAATTCAAACAATTATTTGTTTGAATACAGGACAAATTAAAAAGCAACAGCTTGATCAAAAATCACCATCAGTTGTATGAAAGTGACCAGGAATATGATTTGATAAATATGTCAACGAATTATGATTAGAGGAATTACTGGACATATCAGAGTTAGTATATTAATCTGATCCATAATGATGATAAAACTCACAATGGTCATAGTAGCCTAATCACACAATGCAAAGTAAATAATAAAACTGTAAGAGTTGGAAATTGGACATTGATTAGTAATGCTGATGTGTCTAAACGTTCCTGTCTGCCACGTGAACTGATTGAAATGGTAGTTGCTTCTAGAGATAACAAAATAAACATACCTGCAAGCTTTCGATAATAAAAGTTGGAGAAGTCAGCAAAATTCCTCAACAAAAAAAAATATGTATTTTATCCAGTCGGGTACCATTCAGTGCGTGAAAGACCGCGTCCCATCATCGCCCCGCGCAACAAACAACCGGAACGCAATGAAAAGCCGTAAGCGAGATCTTCACTGAGATTTGTCCATGATGAAAAAACATTTGATGGAAAAGGTGCGGTTCGTTCATGTTACAAGACGAGACCGGGGGAGGTACTCCCTGGTGATGAGGAAAGCGATGAGAAGGAGGACTGAAGTTGAATTCAGTTATTGAGCCTGTGAACTGTGGATTCCTGTCCAAAAGCAGGTAACATCATATAAAACGCGTTATGGTTGATTCAGCTCCCATAAACGTATTTTCACTCCCCACCTCACACATCTGGTGGAGTTGCTTTGAAGTAGGCTAAATATCCTGCATTTATGCCTTGTTGCTGACCGAATAACTTTGGGGATATCTTATAATTAACCTACCAGACATGTTTATGACAAAATAACTATTGAATGGTGGCCTTTGAGTTGTGTGTGGCATATTTTGTGTGTTTTCAGTGTCTGTGGCAAAACTGTAAATGCAGATGGATTGTGACTTCACACACTGCTGAGCAGTCTCCCAGTCAGAGGCAGATGATCTGGGTTGCACTCACGCAGGTAGGCAGGCAGGCAGGCAGGCAGGCAGACAGACACAGACAGTCAGAGACAGAAACTGTCAAAGTCAACAGAAATGGTGGTATTATCCCTTTTTCAGGACCCTGGTCTTTCAAAATAACTTCACAGATCTTCATTGTAAAGGGTTTAAATACTGTTTCCCATGCTTGTTCAATGAACCATAAACATTATGACATGCACCTGTGGAACGGTCACTAACAGCTTACAGACGGTAGTCAATTAAGGTCCAGTTTGAAACTTAGACCTAAAGATGCTTTCTGGAAAAAAGG